GAGGAATATTAAAAAGAAATTTTATTTACTTGACAATTAAAGAATCTCTTTTCATACGAGTTTTTGTATTTTTCTGGTTACAGAAAATTTAAAAAGTAGTTTCACCTGTTATAAATTTGTATCACTTTAAAGGGGGTCATTTTTCAATGGGGGTCAATTTTTTATAGGACACACATATAAAATAATGACCCCTTAGACACTTTTTCTACAAAAAATGATTTTTTTCTACGGGTGGGGGGTCATTTTTTGTCGTTGAAAAATGACTCCCCGGTCATTATTCGATGGGGGTCATTATTTGTCTTTACACCGCCAATCCACATGCTACAAGCTCTGCTTAGAACTGTCTCTAGAGCTATTTGACACGCCCCGCTCGTGATTTTTTTTAACCGCGCCTATCGATGAACCAGAACATTTATGAAGAAATAAAGTACAATAACTATTTGTAATTTTATCTCGGACAGAGACATTGGAGATGTAAATATACTATATTCAATTATATTCACCTTCAGCGATATTTCTTTAGTGTTCAAACATTTGATCTGTAAGAACTCTAAATTAATTTTGGATGTGAAACAGATAATTATATATTCAATTCGACTTGCAGCTTGAACACAGAGTTGCAGAAAACTGACTTTTCGTACCAGATGAACATTAAGAAATAATGACCAAAATGAATTCAAAGACATACATTCTTACATGTATTTCACACAAGCTGATTTTGTTTACATTGGCTTAAAATTTACATGAACTGCAAGAAAATCATTGTTCAAGCAATAATGGAAGCTTTCTCTGCTACATAATGCAGAACGTTATTGAAAACAATTCTTTGAAAACATAAAAGTATTTTGGCACTTTAGAATAAACTAAATAATTAATTTATTTTAGAAAAATGATATAATTTTTAATAGGCCTTTATCGTATATAGATATTGGAAAAATAATTCTAGGGAGAAAAATGTCATAGTTTTTTTTCCCCAAAAATATAGCTAAATAAGAATCCCTTGTTTATTTTACATAACTTCATGACAATAGTAAGTATCTACAATGCATGACAATACGAACGTCAATTTCTCATATTGATTTTTCTCAGAATCCTACAGATTGAATGGAGAAAAAATTGATAAAACTATCTCGCAGTTAGTAAAACTTTGAGTCACAGGGGCAATGGAGAGCACTATTGTCATCAATATTAGCGGAACAAAGTACGAAGTGTCGTCTGACACTTTTAAGCAGATGACCTCCAAGAAGAGTCATGCAACATGTGAACTTGAAAAAATGACGGAGAGAGCAGAAATTTTCCTGGAGAGGAACCCTACCCTGTTTTTAGCAATTCTCAGTTACTTTCAAGGAAACGGTTTGCATTTACCTCCCTCTGCATGCACTGCCGAGTTCAAGAACGAATTGGAATTCTGGGGTGTTGATCCGGATGTTATGGAGCATTGCTGCTACAGTAAATACGTGGGCTTCTTCGACGACCAGAAAGCGCTCTCAATTCTGACAGAGGACCAAAATCAAAGAATTAATGGACGCCTAGAACTCAAACGCCGAGCTCAAGGTACTGGATGGCCGTCCATACAAGCAAAAATGTGGTCCATTTTGGAAGAACCATCCTCTAATATTATTGCAAAAGTAAGAGCAATTCTTTTACTTTAGAAAAAAAAATATTGTAAAGAAAATTCAAGAAATTGTATTTGCATCTATCAGTATTTTCTTTTATAAAAAATATTCAGTTAGGTTTTCTTGCAAAAAAAGACAGATTTAAAGAAGCAAAACAGTTTTTTTTATACATAATGTAGGAGAAAAATATTCACTACGAGTTAAATTTTAATCAATGCATTTTATATAGCGTTAACGGTCGATAGATAACCTCGACTTTTAAAAGACACATTCAAGCAAATAAAAGACAAAATCAGCATCAACATTTATGCGGACAGATAAACAGATGAAGGAAATGATTTGAGGGGGGATAAATGAAATCTTTCAAAATAATTGTTCACATATATCATTCATATTACGAACGGCTTTATTAAAAGATAAGGCTATTCCAAGCTTTATATCAGAATCAAAACAATGTATTGTATTTGATAATTGTATAATGTTTTACTTTTAGAAAATAGATGAAATGGTAATGGAAATTTAACAAGTGTAATGCCAAAGATCTAGAATAATTAATAAAACTAGAAACGATCTCGTTGCGAGCAACGAGTAGGTCTTCCGTCCGATTCCGAAAAATAACCCATAAAACCGAGCTGAAAATGGATTAAACATATTTTGAACACACTGGTAATTGAAACGGGTCACTAGCGTGAAAATCCAATACGCTTATCGATTACGCTATTTGAACAACTACTCTTACTTCACTTGTATGTACATATAATTCTGTAACAGTTAATCTGTCTTGGAATTATGAAAGAAGGGTCACTATTCATAATTTCGCGCCAAACGCAACGAGTAAATCTTAGCGAATTTCTCTTGGAATGTTCATGGTCCTTCGGATGAGACGGTATAGACCGAGGCCCCGTGTCACAGCAGGTGTGTCAGGATAAAGATCCCTCCCTGCTCAATGGCCCTGAGTAGCATAGGCCCAAATTTGCAGCCCTTCACCGGCATTGGTGCCGTCTCCATATCAGTGAAATATTCTGGAGAGGGACGTTCAACAGTATACAATCAATCAATCAATCGTATATAGGCAAATAACACTAAAGCAGTTAAACAGCTATGAATGGTTAATTTTTCAATTTTCAATCACGAAAGTTGACTATTCCGATTACGTACACTATCATGAAAAAGGTGGTATGTTTCATAAGATTCCTTTACGTTAAATAACTTGCATTGAGAAAATAAAATGTTTATATAGGTCAATTAAACGGTCTTTGAAAAATTGATATCTTTAAAAATAAAATATTTTCTTATTGTAACAGTTGTCCTTTCTATTGATTTAATATGACATAAGTGTGCATTAGAAAACAGTGGCCACGTTTTTTACTTACTACATTCTTGAAAAACTATTAATTATAACTATGATTTAAGCTATGTGTTACCGTGATGCAAAACAAAAGATATAGACAGTGTACTTCATTTGCACATTAATTCTTTTCTATTTCTACTTTGAGAAACAACCAAAACCAATTAAAGAAGACTTGTAAGTAGACCTTGGATAATAAATGTAGTTTGACACCGAATTGCAACGAACCTACGACGTGACAATCCAAGTATCCCTACACATTTCATTGCTCCTTATGTTACTTTCGTTCAAGCAAACGCTCGGCTGCCTCTGTAAACCCCTATTGCGAAATTTCGGAATTGACAGAGACCGCCGCCATTAAGATCACGCTTCAGACTTTTGAATGTTAATATCTCGAGTTCGAATTCATCAATTTACAAACAAATTATATATTCAGCCTAATGAGAAATGTATCTATCAACCATACAAATATGATTTGAAAATATTGAAAAACAAAAAAGTTCAAAAATTTGACTTTTTTTCTTTGCATGCCGTTACGACAGGAAGTAGAGACGACGTACAAAAGATCGCGTCTTGGATAGTACTTATCACGATCTATAATCCCTGAAAGATTCACAGTGATATCTTTTACCGTTCTTTAGATTATCCGCGAACAAAATGTCAATTTAAAATCAGAAAATTGTCCGTAACTTGGCACCAGAAAGGAATTTCCAAAAAATTTCCAGGATATAAGAACTGCAGATAGGAACACATTGTTCCTGCAAATTTCATAAAAATCCATCCAGTTGTCTTCGAGAAATCACATGCACAAAATTTGATGGTCAGAAAAATAATAATTATAACGAGCTCAGGCGAGCTTCAACGCCTTTTGCGCTGGAAAGATATAGACTCAAAAAAGCAATTTAGCAATCCTTCCTCTACCTTCACTGAAAATCTCAAGTCAATAACTTCATTCGTTTTTTAGTGATTGCCCGGACAAGCTGACCCTCTTAAAATCAGTAAATCGTCCATATCTCACGACCGGAAGTGACGACGTACTTATAAAAAATTTCCAATAAGGTTCAGACCAATATCTATCAGATCTGAAAGTTTCGTGAAAATCGACCGAGACGTTTACGATAACTGGCGTGCACAAAAATCGGTAAGAAAAATAATAATAATAATAATAATAATAATACAGAGCTCCAGATAAGATGCGTATTTGCAGAAATACGCATTAAATTTTACAAAATACGCATTGAAAATTGAAATAGAGCGTACAATTACGCAGTAGCAATCATAGATACGCATTACACAACGAAAGTACAGCGTACAACAAGTTGAAGAACACAGGTACGACTTACTTAATGATACGTATTGAGGTTAACTCAGTGTTTGATTTTTCACAAAACGAAGTACAGATTTCAAAGCCTTTTAGTGACCAGGAATAATCTAGTAATGACGACGACGATCTCCATTTTGGGAGGAAGAATCGGAGATATAGATTAAAATCAATTTCTATGTAAAAGACTATGCACTTGGCAAAACTTTTTTTTATTATGGATTCATAACCAATTTTTCATCTCTCTCAACTTGCCACATTAACGAAGATTCTTTTCTCTTATAGTTTACTCTTGATACGATATGAAGGAAAAGTTTTTCTGTGTCTCTGACTCTATGGCACCTTCTCCTACAGTATAATATTCCATGTCAAAAAAGAATGCTTCCCAATCTTAGCATAAAGGTCTTTTTGGTCAACAAGACCTTATGCTAAGATTGGGAAGCATTCTTTTTTTATTGGTACTGGTTGGTATTTACAAAATTTATTTAAATAAATGCAGGAACTGACCTTTGAAGTTTTTTCCCTCTTCAAAAACACATACTTCAATTACAAGCTCAAAATAATGGTCAAAACGTTTATATATAAACAAAATACTCTTCAATCATTTTGCTGAAAATTAAAATCTGCATTGATTAAAAAATCAGGGAGTAAACACACTTTGGGGTAAAAAATTATCTGGAGCTCTGATAATAATAATAATAGGGAAAAAGAAACCGAACGAAAACAATAAGGTCTTCCGTTGGAAACGGAAGACCTTAATAAGTATCAATTTGCAATATAATTCGCCCCAAACCCGACCTGTATATTTAAAAAAAAAACGAAACAGTTTATTATGACATTTTTTCAAAGAAATAGAAGTGAAAATGTATATATACCAACTGATGGTAAATTAGCTGTCTTCTTGAAATATACACTAAAAACTTGTATTTCCACAAAAATAGGCAAACTATATCTACACTGAAAGTTCAGAAATACAAACAATCTATATAAAACTTACCCTAATGTATCAGATATTACTGCAAAATAAAGATATTTCTAATAGAAAAAGATTAGCAATTAGGGTCTTAAAACCGTAGCTTATTAGATTTACAATGTATGTGAATTTTTAACGGCAATATTCCAGTACTAGTATTACAAAACAAGGTCAGATTTACAAAGCAATCATTTTTTACGGTAACTAGCAACTTTCAAATTTTGCAACTAGAATTGCTAGTAATTCACTTAATGATTTATGCAAAAATTTTCAAATTCTATGAATGGTCATATTCTAACTACTTAAATTATTTTGAACTTTCGAACTAGGCCATTCTGAAGTATATTTAAAAGGAATTTCATGCATAAGTAATACATTCGTGAAAGCTCGTCGTTTTATGATGCACATGAATAATAAATGGTGATATAGCATTTAAACTGCCACTCTTTCAGGACGTATACAGAGAACACATATTTCTCATATTTTCCCAAAGCGTGCTTGAAAACATTTCGTCATTTATTAAGGAGGAACAGGACCTTTAGCGGAAAAAATTCCTGTCAATGAATTTTTTTCGTATTTTTTATATTTCTAATTTAATATGTACTTAACTTTTTAAAACGGTCCTGTCATGGGATTTCTTGACTTATTTAAAAGATATAGCCCCACAATTACCGCCCTGTTTAGAGTTTGTTTGGAGTTTAGATATTTCATGTTTACGGGCCCATAACGGAGTCCATAATGCGAATTTTTACGCACAAACGATAAATATGATAGATAACACTATATACTCAAATATTTCATAATATTCATAGTATTTAAATTATCTGAAAGCAATTGTTTTAATTTTATATAGTATTTGGGTGGGATAATTTCTGCATTTTTCAAGGCAGCTTCAACGACAAAAACCGCATTTGGAATAAATTCTGTCAATAAATATTTCTAAATTTACGATTGAATGTCAGCCCTTCATCGTAATTATTTACTGCATAAATATCACAGGGTGAAGCTTACCTCAATATCGCTCAGGACATCGTTGAATTAGACTTAAGCATGATAAAAACGCTTCACGTTTGTATTTTCCGAGTGCGGGAAATCAATTGTGACGTCACACGAAAATATAAACATTCAAAATTATCTAAATAGAGAGAATCTCTGTTACTAAACACGGAAAAATATTAATTTTAAAAAATTTGTTTCAGAAATTTATCACGATACATTGACTGTGAACTGTTTATTATGAAATAAAACTGATCATGACGGTGTGTGTAATTGATCTCGCTGCACTGAGAATTCAAACACTACGTCTATGACGTCACTGACGTCAGACTGCACGGTAAAGAGAAACAAATGTGAGGATAGGGCAACTTCACAATATCTAAATGATGGCAAGATCTATAAAAAATTATTAATAATAATTTCTTAAATTAAATGTTTGAAAAACAATTTTAGAATTTAGAATAAAATTACACAAGAACTGTTGATTTTAACAACGTTTAACATGTATATCATCACCGATTATGACGTGATATGTCTTTCTAGTCATGTCACATGTGTCCTGTCTCCCCTTGTACGTTTCTTTAACAGGTTCAGGGAATGAAAATTTAAAACATACTCTTCAAAGACAAAATAAAGATGAAATGTAAAAATAAAAACGAAACCAAACAAAATATACACATTAAAAAATTATTGCTAGCCAACATAAGATACCTATTAGATAAAAATGTTGATGTTTTGTGTCTCCAAAAGTAAATTTCCTGAAGGCTAAAGTAAGTAATACTATTTTGACTTGTACCTTACGAATTACATGTAATCAGTGAACAAAACGAACAAATCCTTAGAAATCATGTTAAAGAGACCGATTCCACTTGAAATGCCGTTTAAATTATTCAATATAGACGTACAATATATAATTATTATTTCGGTAACTGACAGATATAAATTTGTCAAAAGATTAAAAAAAATCAAATAACTATGACTTGAAAAAAACTTTCCTCTTTTGTAGGGCTATTTTTACACAAGCGCTCTTTTTGTCATCATATCGATAGCTGCTTTAATCTGTGGAACACATCCAACATTCATGCGAAATTTGCGTGAATCTGAATGGCGCGAATACTTTGATGAAGATTTTCATCAGTATGCAGGTCACTTTGATTCGTCCCTTGTTCAGCCAGGATCCACATTGCCGCCATTACCAACAGAACCAGTAGCCCCGCTAGACGTTCTGACCTACTTGGATTTCATTACGACTGTCTTCTTCACAATGGAATTTGCCCTTCGTGTCACATTCTGTCCCCACAAAACGAGATTTTTCGTTTCCTTCTTGAACTGGGTTGACATTTTATCTTTGCTTGTGATGTATTCAAAGTATATAGTCGAAGCAGTCGATCCACGAGAAAAATACACAGCCTCAATCTTCGATATTGTTCATTGTTTCCAAATTATTCGGGTATTCCGACTTTTTCGTTTAGTAAAAAACTTTATTGGATTTCGAGTTCTTCTATATTCAATGAAAGCAAGTTTATACGAGGTTCTTCTTATGTCGATGTTCCTTATGGTTGCAACGCTGCTATTCTCTGCTTTTGTTTTCTTTTCGGGGGATAAAGCTTTTACCAGCATTCCAGACTCCTTCTGGTGGGCAATAGTTACCATGACAACGGTTGGTTACGGTGATATATACCCCAAAGAGGCTCTGTCGAAATCCATAGGAGCAATATGCGCTATTTCTGGAGTATGTCTTCTAGCCGTTATCATTCCAATATTTGTCAATAATTTCCTCTTGTTTTATGCCTATTCAAAAGTATGGGGAACCAAAGACAACGTTAAGGAGGAATGTAACGAAGAAAAGGGAAACTACCCAGTCACTTCTAGGACAAAGATAACCCCTTTCAAACCTGATTGACGTCGGAAGAATTATTTATATTTGTGTTACACAGTGTCTTATAGATTATTACATCATACTATAAATTTTAGGCTTAAAAAGTTTTTCTTTTTTTCAGTTTGAATTTTTGACATTAAGTTTTCGATGACATGAAGTTGGTCACGTGATCAGACTATTTTGCGTATTGAAAATATTTGAAAGATCTAGACTGTGGCGTTATATGATGTCATACATGTACATACATGTACATGTATCGTTGCATATCGTTGCATATCCAGAACAATGTCTAAAAAAAGTGGATTTTGCTTTGAAAAACGAATTAAACAAAATAAATATAAGAAATCAAAAATCATTTTAAGAGGTCCATTGTCATACGACATGAATTTGGTTCATGATCAATTCTGCTATTACGTTTCTTCGGGTATTATAGGATTTGATCACAGGATCAACTTCACATAATATACAAATGACTTTAAACATGCTTAACGTGCTTCTTATATAAAAGATATGTAATTTATTTTAAGACTTTTCAGTACAACTGTACGATTTCAGCAATTTTAGTGAAGATGTATCAAGTAATGTATACAGTAATTATATGAATCATGTTCATGTAGTTACTCCAATTTCTGCACCATTTTCCAAATAATATTTATTGTTCATTTTATTAACCACATATTACTCTTTTTCTTTTGAGTGTACGTGTGTAAGGTTAAAAGAAAATCTACCACGAGCCTTTTCACCCACTTATTATTTGAAAAACAAATTGTTGAAAAGTCTTAAAGTTTAATATTTTTAATTAGCTTGAATGTAGATTAACTGCAAATTAATCAGTCTGAATATTTCTTATATAAGTACTCATTAAGTAGTATTTTTTGTCAGTTTCATTATTAATGTAATGTTCGTCTCCCTAGAAATAATTTCTCTTTATACATGACAAATATTTTTTAATTATCTTTAGACACTGTTTTGTCATCAAAGAGGAGATTTTCCTGAATGAAAAGTTAATTTTATATGTACATTATTTCAAATGCAATACTTTCATTCCGTTAATGATAACAATTCAACTTGGATTCCAATACGAATGAAGGGTTCAATTTTTGATCGTCCATTATTTTCCATTTCATAAAATGGTGAAAGAGATACAACTGAGGAATTTATGTTATACTTGTATTCCTAATTCGAAGTTATAAAACTTTTAAAATGTTTAGGATATTTTAGCTTAAAAAAATAGTAGGTAAAAACAAGATGTGTTTGTAAAACACTGATGCCAACGTACGGCAGTTTATGGCAAAGATTGATTAGAAGTTTAAGAACTCCAAGTTCAAGGTCAAAAGGTCAAAATTGTTGGTGTCCAGAGAAAGGTCTTTACAAGGAACATACCTGTGAAATATGAAAGTCATAGTACTTTCTGTTCAAAAGACATGGTCAAGGTTAACGTTTTTTTTAAAGTGGGTCAAACTCTAATGTTAAAGTCAAAAGGTAACAAATATTTATACTCATTGAAAGACCTTCTCACAATAAACTCCCATACGAAGTATGAATGCTCTAGCACCAACTGTTCAAAAGTTAAGGCCAAGGTTAAAGTTTCTTATATTTTTCTAAAAGAAGGTCAAACGTCAAGGGCACGAGGTCAAATTTCATGGTACCCAAAGAAAGATTTTGTCACAAGGAATACACTTAAGAAATGTGAAAGCTATAGCCCCAACCATTCAAAAGTTATTGACATGTTTTTGTGGACAAATAGACAGACAGACGGACGAACAGAAAACTATCCCGAGTCTTTGATTACGGGGGCATAAAAAAAAATAACCAAAACAAGCCCCACAGACTCCGAATTGGATTTTTTTCAACAAAAACTGTTGTAATGCTTTCCTTTTAAATAAACCATTATTTATTTGTTTCTATATACAGTGCGTTACAAAAGACAGGAAGAGGAGGCTGTTTAAAGCAAATTGTTTTGTTCAATATAACTGAGAATGGAATAAAAATTGCAAAGCCTCGTTGAGTGAATGGAGTTTCCTCAATGACATCCCTGTATTCAACTTAA